GATATTTAGATTTGGGAGATTGTATAGAGCTGATAGCTGAATCCTTCGGAGCTGATGAGATCACCAGGAGAGAGAATAGAGAGGGGAGGGGAGGGCTGGGAAAAGAGCACTAGGAAACACCCATAGGTAGGGGGTAGAACATGTACGGCAAAGGAGACTGAGTAGTATCAGTTGGCTCTGTCAGATGGGTATGAAGAAAATCCCATAGATATGACAAAATCGTGACCAAAAAGTGAGGGAGGAGAAAGGATACAGGAAGAAGGAGTGATCAGCACTATCAGATTATAAATAGAAGTTAAGAAAGATGAGGACTGAGAAAGTGCCGTTGAATTAAGAAATAAAGAGATCGTTGGTGGCTTTGAAAACAGTCGTTTCATTGGAGACAGAAGCCTAATTGCGGGGGTTGAAGGAGTGGAAGGTGACAAAGTTGAGGCAATAAAGATGGCTTTTTCTAGGAGTTAGGTTGTGAAAGAAAGAAAAGATATAATACATTTAGGTGGTGCTCAGGTAAAGTGAATTTAATAATTGATAATATCTAGGCATTTATGTAGCTTTAAGGTGTGCAAATCTCTTTATGAATATTTTATCCTCATTTTACAGATGAGGAAGGTGAGACAATCAGAAGTTAAGTGACTTGTCCACAATTTTCTGAAGGTTCTCACATTTTAAGTGTTTTATTTTGATTTAAGAAATGTGGTTTTTTTTTGTGCCTAAACAAGATTTTAAAAACATTTATTATTAATATCTTTTGTTTTTTATCACCTTCATTTGCAAATTTATTCCTCCCCTTCCCACCTACCTAGAGTCATTTCATGACAAAAAAAAAAGCAGAGCAGTTCAGCAAAAGTAACTATCAACCTGGATTGATAGTTTACACAACACCCATACCCCAAAGAAGGGGGAGAAATAATTTTTTTCATATCTTTTTTGAGGCCAGGTTTGGTCACTATAATAAGAATAATTTTTAAATTCAATTTTATTTTCAGTTCCAAATTCTCTCCTTCTTTTCCCCTACTTATTGAAAAGACAAGAAAAACAAAACTCAACAATTATGACAGTTATGTATAGTCAAGTCATTATAATTAGATAGTCTTTTTTTTTGAAGGCAGTTGGGGTCAAGTGATTTGCCTAAGGTCACATAGCTAGTAAGTGTCTAAGGCCAGATTTGAACAGATCCTTCTGACTCCAGGGCTGTTACTCTATCCATTGTGTCACCTAGCTTATCGAAGTATATAGGGCCTCTAAATTTTTCAGAGTGTAAATGGTTCTTGAGAACTACTTTCTCTCTTTTCTTCCAGCATACTTAATTTTACTGATTAACTAAATTGAAGTTCATGACCAAAGCTTCATAATTTCCTATATGTCATATTCTAGTTTCTTCAGTTATAACTTAACTTCTTTGGGAAGTCCACTGTAATCCTGATTGTTGTAGCTTAGTATATTATCTGTCTGCCTGTAGCTTACAGTATTTTTTCATTATCGTGTACAAGTTTAATGTGTCTGGGAGAATTGAACCTTGAGTTCTTCCTTGTAGGGATCCATAAAATCATAGAATTAGAGCTGAAAAGAGACCTTAGAAGTTTTTCTCAGTTAGATTGCTAGAAAAAGCTGTACCCTTGCTTGTCCTCCCTTCTCACTTTTCAGTCCTTTGCAGTCTGGCTTCCAACTCATCTCTGAATTAAAACCTTTCTCTTCAACGATACCAGATATTTTAATTGCCAGATATAATGATCTGTTCTCAGTCCTCATCCTTCTCTACATGTCCACTGCATTTGACACTGTTGATCATTCTCTCAGCCTGGGTATGCTCTCCTCTTTGGTTTTTGTGATACTATTCTCTCCTGTCGAATCACTTCTTCTTTATCTCCTTTACTGGTTCATCATCCATATCATGCCCTTAAACTGTGGATGTTCTCCAAGGCTCTTCTCTTTTCTCTCTATATTCTCTTGCTGACCTCATCCTCTTCTGTGGGTTTAATTATTATCACTATACAGGTGACTCACAGATCTATTTATCCAGCTCCACTCTCTCTGAGCTTCAGTCCAATATCACCAATTGCATATTGCACATTGCACACTGGATGTCCCAGAGACCTGTCCAAAACTGAACTCTGTCTTTGCCCCCAAATTCACTCATCTTCCAAACTTGCTTATTTCTGTTGATGCGGCCATCATTTTTCTGGATGTCCTGTAGTCATCGCAAACTTAGTATGGCCAAAAACAATTCAGCTTTCTCTCCCTAACTCTTTCAGCCCTAACTCTTCTGAATTTGCTAGTTTCTGTTGAGGACACTACTATCTTTCTAATCACCCAGGTTTCCAAACTTGGCATTTTCATTGACCCCTTTGTCACTCACCCTGTGTAGCTAGTTAGTTGCCAAACTTTGTTGTTTCTTCTACCTCTGCAGCAACTTTGGTGTTCATCCCTTTCTTTTTAACCACATATCACCCTACTAGAAGACCTTGTCATCACCTCTTGCCTGGACTTTTGCTGTAGCCTTCTTATTGGTCTCCCCTGCCTCATCTATCTGCGCTCTGTACCATTTTCCACACGGCTTCTAAAATAATTTTCTAAAATTGCAGGTATGACCATGTCACTCCCTACTTACAACCTACTTACAATCTCTAACTTTATTACGTATTATTCCATTTAATATATTTTATATTGAGGTCATTCTGACCTTTTTAAAAAGGTTTTTTCATACACATCTTTCTCGTACGCATCACTTTTCTCATATATATCACTTTCTCATACATATCACTCAATTTCCCATCTCTGTGCTTTTGCACTGGCTATCTCCCATGCCATGTGGCACTCCCTCCTCGTGATAGCCTTTTAAAATATACTTAGTTTTCTTCAAAATTAACCTCAACTGACACCTACATTAAGCCTTTCCTCATACCCCTAGTTGCTAATGTTCTCCTCTTTCTTCTCATTATCTTATATCTATTTTGCATATATCTAATGCATACATTTTCTCCCTGGTAGAATATAATCAAGGCAAAGTCTGTTTCTTTTTTGCTTTTATGTCTATCACAGTCCTGGCCATGTAGTAGATACTTAATAACTAACTACTTGTTGATTGATCAAAGATGTCATCCATTCTGATGGTTTTATAGGACTTCATCTTTATGAAAATTGTTTCTAAATCTGTTTATCCAGTTCTTACCTCTTACTTAAACTCCAGACCCATATCTCCAACTGCCTGTTAGATAATTCTATTTTATATTTTTTGGTATCTGCTGAAAGGACACATCAGAAGTTATCTTTCCCTCCAAATAGTATCCCCTCCCAGCTTCCCTGTGCTTATATTGGTGGTGGTGCTATTCTCTTGTCCTCCAAGTTTGAAATTTTGAATACTCTTTTACTTCTTCCTCTTTCATCACTTATATCCACGCAGCTAAACAAATCCTATCAGTTCTTCCTCTGAAATACCTCTTGTACATATTTCTTCTCTTCTAACATTGTACTACTCTGATTCAGGCCTTTAACATTTCATGTTTTAATTATTGCAGCAGTGAAAAATTGGTCAAAACATTTGTGAGAAACTGCCTTTGTTTATTGATTATTTCATAATGTTCCTAGTTCTATGATTTTCATGTAGATAAAAGATGAGATATGTTTATGTTTAATACTAGAGAACCAGGTAATTGATTTGAGAGGCATAATGAAAAGAGATGTGCCATGAAGACCCGAGTTTGAATTCGTCTTATGACATTTACTATGTAACCATTTTGATAATACCTTTAATATCTAATAGGCCTCATAAGAGATCAAAGGAGATAAGGATTTATAATCTTTAGAAGACTTATCTACTTCAGCTCTTATTATTGATGTTTCCCAGAAGTTTAGTTGTTCAGTTTCTAGAAAGGATAATAAAGCAAAATTAAATTGAGTGTATTGAGTGTAAGTTCAATTTAATTTTAATTTTTGAATTGGTAACTCTTCTTAGACCTCTTCAGTGTGCATTTGTTATCTAAGCTGTAGTTTAATTTGAGACTCTTCATTTTCTGAGTTGGCCTTAATTACTGACTTGCCTGTTGTAGGTTAATTTGTGTATTTACCCTAAGACTGTACCTCTAGGTTTGATTGACTTGATTGGGAATTCCAAAAAGCCGGTTTGAGTCCCAGATTAGGCTCAGTCAAGTCAACAACTAAAATTTTTTCCTTCTGTCTATCTGTCAGGTCTTCCACTGGGATAATGAAAACCTTGGTTCAAGTGCTGCCTTTGATGCATATTGGTTGTGTGACCTTGGGCACAAGTTACTTAACTTCAATGACCCAGTCACACCTCTGAGATTGTATGTTAAAGAAATGTTGCTGGTCCACATTGGTAGAGGGATTTTCCCAATAGCAATGAAATCACAAGTCCAAAAAAAGAAAAGAAAAGAAAAGAGAGAGCTTGGTCAAAACAAGCTTTACTAAAGTAAAGAGAAGGCTGTGTGGCTGAGCACATTGCGAAGCATAGACATACATTTTACTGCAAATTTAGAAGTAAAACCCAAAGAAGCCATGGACTATTATTTACTACAGTTATGTGTAGCTGTCCCTGAGGTGCTCCTTGGGTGGCAGATGGTTTCAGAGGCAAGTACTTTTCAAGGAGTTAACTGTTTTGCTATTCTAGCAGGAGCTACCATGATATTCTTTTGTTGTTACCTCTGACCCAAAAAGCAATATTTTCAGGGGTTCTTGTTCCTACCACAGTATAGTGCTCTCTACGGTCTGTTCACTCCAACTAAAAGGACTTCATGTGCCTTGTTTCATGACTACTTTTGATCTTGTCAGTCTCTGAATGGCACTAGGCAGAGGGAAGCAAGGATAAAAATAGATGACTCAACCTAAAGAAGTAACAATTCCACTTGCCTAGAATCTTTGATATTCAGTTTTCCCCAGAGCATGTTTTACTGTTCTAGAATTTATAAAAAAAAGTATTTGTTTACATGGTTCCTGTTTCTCATGTCCAATTTTTAAAACTTTTTCATATGGTAATGTTTTTACAGACTATTTTGACCATGGATGGTGAGGAAATACCAGACTTTTCAAGTTTAAAGGAGGAAACTGCTTATTGGAAGGAACTTTCCTTGAAATACAAACGAAGGTAAATATTGAAAAGAGCGGTAGAGCGGTATAACAATTAGAATATTTGCGTAAGCCCTGTTTTTTACTGTTATTTTAGAATAGTATGTTAATTCTAAAATTAAATTTCCAGAGTTAGGAGGGACGTAGGATTGTGGTCTATATTACATAATAAAGTAATATGTTTTTAGTTGAGGCTTGTATTATTTGTTGGGTGCACATATTCTTATTTTGTTATTTATTGTTTGTGTGACGTTGGACAAGTCCCTTAATCTGGGCTCCGTTTCCTCATCTACAAAATAAATCTGTGATTCTGTGAATAATAGTAATAAAGAAAGTATTAAAGTTGGTTGAAAAAGCATTAGTTGTAGTTCCCCTACAATTTTTGTGCTTTCTTGTCATTTCTTGTTTGTTGAGTGAATATTGAATAATGGACATGGCTACGTTTTCCTTTTTCTTTTGTTATTGATATATTTTTGATATATTGATATATTTTGTTTTGACACAGCAGACTCATCCTAATTACTCAAACAGACCCTCATACAAGCTACTCTTTCCCGAAGGGTTGAGTAAAATCTCCTAATTGACTGCCACTTTCCACTTTTGTAGCTTACAGATCTGTTAACAGAAAGGAATGATGTGTGATTTAATTTGAAAAGTTTGGTTCCAACAATATTCATTGTAATTGATGTGAATTTTGTTGCCTTTTAATGTTGTCTTTACATTTATTTTAGTTATAGTCTTTACATTTGTTTTAGCTCTGCTTTACCTCATACAAGTCTGACCTCTTCATATTTACCACTCTTTACAGTACCATAATATTCCATTGCATTCATCTACCACATTTTATTGAGCCATTTTTTACTTTTTGGACACGCTGGTTTGTTTCCAAATGTTTATTATTATAGATAGTGCTGCTGTGAATGTTGAGGGGTTTTTTTTGTTTTTGTTTTTTTTGCTCTAGTATATGGGTTTTTTCTTACTCATAGCTGCATTTTCCCTGAGAGGTGGGTTTATGTCCAGTCTGGGTTTATATCTGCAGTACACCAGTAGACCTCATCCAGTAAATCTGTTTAAACCAGTTTAGACCAGTTGTTCTCTGCCTTTGAATCTTTTACACCCTTGTGTTACTGTTCTGGTCTTGCCAATCCTCAATCTACTTTCATGTACTTTCTCCTCTTGCTTCTTCAGTACTAAACATTGCTGGGAGAAGTTATAGAACCATGTCAGCCCTTTTGAATTTTCTTCTGCTTTCATCTATTTTTTAAATGATTCATTAATGATCTTTTCTTAATTTTTTAAACTATCATCACTATCCCCTGTGACTTCCCTGACCAAAAGGAAACAAAAGTTTTCTCTTGTAACAAATAAGTATAGTCACACAAAATAGGATCTGCACATTGGCAATAATCTGAGAATGTATGTCTCAGTCTGCACCTGTAGTCTATTATTTAGTTGGTATAATGGATGGAGCACTGGACTTAGAGTATGGAAGACCTGAGTTCAAATACAGTCTCAGATTAGTACTATCTGTATGACCATGGGCAAGTCACTTAACCTCTGTTTGCCTTAGTTTCCTCAACTGTAAAATAAGGTGGTCTTCCTGGATTTTTCTGAATCTGTTCTTTTTGTCATTCTTATGGCACAATAATGTTTGATTACATTTACATGCCCTAATTTGTTCAGCCATTTTCCATTTAATGGCCTCCTATTTTGTTTCCAGTTCTTTGCCTCCTTGGCTTCTCTTGACTTCTGTGTTTGTGTTTCAAAGACAAGCTCTGTTCTTTTTATCAATAGTCCTTTTTTTTTCCCTGTAGAATTATGCAATTTGTAAGAGAAGTCATTCTTGGTTTTAAGTCTTTTCTTTTGAATATTGAGTTCCAAAATTTCCTCTCTTTATATGATCCTGACTGTTGTTACTTGGTACTCAGACTTTTTCTTCTTGTATGCTTGTAGTACTCTTTTTTTTTGTCCTGAAAGTGTTGGATTTTGGCTAAGACTTTCCTAGATGTTTTAAACTGGGATTTCTTTTAGGAGGTGACCTGTGGTTTCCTTCTACTTTTACATAGTCCTCTGATTATTATAGATTTGAACAAGTTTTCTTTTATGGAAATTATAATTTTTTTTGTTCGATGGTGGTTTTCAGAGATTCTATTGGTTTTTAAATGATCTCTCCTCAACTTCTTTTTCCAGGTCAGTTTTTGATAGATACATTTTACTAATAATAATAATTACTAATACTAATTTACTAATATAAATAAAATTTATTAATACTAAGATAAATTTACTAATTTACTACTAAAAATAATATTTCAGTCCTTTGACCTCTTTTTGATATTTCTTGTTGTCTCATTTAAATGTTGGCTTTCTATTCACTCCATTTTATTTTTCTGGGAATCCACTACATGGGCAGGATTTTCCACCTATTCCGAGTTGTTTTTTCTCCTTCCAGTGTTTTCCTTAAGTACTCTCAGTTCATCTTTAAAATCTTCGTTTACTCTTGAAGTCTTTATATCCAAACAATTTGTTTCTGTGAGGTTTACTTTTGTACTTATTAAGTTACTTTGTCCTTCTGGATTTACCTCTTGGGCTTCTTTTAACCCATAATATTTCTTTGTGGTATTTTGAATTTTCTTCTGTTGACTCATGTCTTCAATATTATTTCCTAGATTAAGATTTTGTGCCAGGGTCAGGCTGTACCCCTTGGATGGAATGGACATGTTCTGTTTGGACTTGTCCCCGCCATAGTCTAGAAGCTGCTGCGATTGCAGTTCTGGATGAAGTGGATGGAGCTAGGCTCTACCTATTTCTATAATATCTGGCTTTCTCCTCTTTCCTCTGGTGGCCCAGTGCAGGTAATAGCCTCAACCAATCTCTGTCTCCTTGTCCTTGTGTTTCCAGCTAGAGATAGGCTCTACCATGCTGTATAGCACTCAGAGTGGTTAGGTAAGTGAGGGTTAAGGAGCAGGAGGGAGCTGACAGAAATTCTGAGAACTGTCTTCTTCAGTGGCTCCAAAAGGAGCATTAACTCCAGGCATCTTGGATAGCCCCATGGTGCCTCGTCCCATCTCCCTGAGCAATAAAGGCTGGCTCCTCTCCCACCATGACTCTAACAGGAAAGGGCAGAGGTTCTGATGGTTTCAGGCTCTGTTTGCTGGAGGTCGGATTAGCTTTCCTTCTCTTCCTCATGGATTGTCCTTGCTAAGAGTACCTGTAGATTTCTGTTCATTTTCTTGGGCATTCCTGTACTGGATGGAAAAACTTTTTGTAATCTCTCTTTGGTTTTCTTGATTGTTTCTTTTGGCAAACTTACATTTTTTCTGTGGTGTTTATTAGGCAATATAAGACTGGCCACAACATTTCATGTTGCCATCTTAACTGGAAACCTATCCACTTCTCAAACCTGTACAAATGGACTTATGAACCTCTTTCCAAGGTTGTCAACAGTGTCTTAATTGTTAAAATCCAGTGGCTTTTCATTCTGCTTGACCTCTCTGTGGTTTAGGACATTTATTGATCCCGGCTTTTTCTTTGTTGTTCTCATCTCCTTTAGCTTTTGTGACATTATTCTCTATTGACTCTTGGTTCTCCTATCTGACTCATTTTCGGTATCCTTTGACTCTTCACTCACTGTCTCTTTCACATCCTGTTGATGTTAGTCTGGATCTCTCTTCTTTTTTATCTGCCTTGATGATATCATATATCAATGCCTAACATTGGAAAAGACTTGTAATTTTATGTGAATCGTTAGTGTTTCACCAGTGGGATCATTGGTCACTTGGCTGAATGCTGGAAGGACCAGAGCTTCAGAGACTAGGCCTCACACAAAGCTGAATACATGATCCACATGTAGGATATCTTTTAGATGTGCCTGGTGCCATGAGTGAGTATAGTTTGGTCCCTGAGGACCCAGAACCCCTTTTCACAGCCATCATCATTTTAATCATCTAATCTCTTTTCAGATCTGCCTTTTTCTTCTGAATATTTTCACTTTTATTGATATTAGTGATGAAAACACCACCTTTGCCTGTGAAGTATTCAGTTTCTTGTAATCTCTTGTAATGCTTTCTGTGCTACATAGATAGGATCTGGAGGTATCATTTGCTTCCATCTGAATTACCAAAATTAAACAGAATTTGGATTTCTAGACCATAGTTTAAAAGATAGAAATATAAGGCCCTATAATTTAATAAAAAATGCTTTAAGATGAAAAAGAAGGGGGAGGAAGAAAGCTTCTATTATATAGTTATCAAACTTGATATCATAGAATATTGCAACTGGACACCTAGAAATTCATAGGAGAAGAATTCAACAAAGAAATCAGTAACTTATGACCTCAAATGTCTATACCAACATACACAGGAAATAAGTAAGGGGTTTAGGGATTCTAATGCAAGGAGGCAAATTTGACCTCATTAAGTATCACTGAGACTTGATGGAGTCAGATCCACACTTGGAATTTGGTTCTAGGAAGGTGTAACTTATTTAAGAGAAACAGGATAGGAGGGAGGAACAGAGTTGCTTTGTTTATTAAGAAGGAAATCCTGGAACCAGAGAGGGGACAGTGCATGGAGTGATTTGAATCTTTTGAGAACAACAGGGTTCTCTCCACTCTGTCTCCCGACCTATCTTAGGTTTCAGCTTTTTGCTATTTTTGTTCTGCTTCTTCCACTCCACAAATCATTCTCCTTGGACTAGAAAACAGAGGTAAAATAAGAACTGAACATCACTGCTTTCTCTCTATTGTTTGTTACGATAGTTCAGTTTATACCTAAGAGTGTACCATTTTCCCCCTCCAATGCTGTTTAAAAAAAATAACAAAAAAAACACCAAAACCCTGATATCCCTGAGGATTTATGCGAATAAAGTAGAGAAGACAAATACATTGAACATGTAATTAATAAAAGCAGAACAACAAAATCTTAATCTCTAAACAAATACAAATGAGATTTTGAAAAGAAAGGGCAAAATAAATGGAAGTGAAAATTTGTGGAAAATTGAGTTATTAAAACAGCTGATTTT